AACAGATTTCAAAATTTCAACTCGAAAAATAGTTTATTGAGCGTTATCATTAATTTGTTTCACTTAAATTTGTACAAATATTTATAATAAATGAAAATATTAATTAGAGAAATATTTTTCTGCCAAGAATGTCATTATGAAAAATGTTAATTATTAACGATTTTTACATCTCTGTTTCGAAAATTGTCAGCTTTCTAAATAAGTATTACCAATGTACCAATAAAAGGTATGTGCAGAAATTATTACATATGTACATACCTATAAATCTACGTTAAAATAAGTAAACAAATTTAAGCGCTTCTAATTCTAACTTTAGATATATACATTTTATTACTTATTTAAAAAATTCTTAATACAAGTTTCTTCGTACTTTTTTCTTCGCTATTGGGTCAAGCATTTAATAAAGATTCTAAAACCTGATTTGTGGGTTTGTGGTGGTTCCTACCATTTACAATAAGTTGCAAATTATCAACTTTTCTCAAAAAAAGATTTAAAAAATCTGGGTGCAAACCCCTTTTTATTTTAGTGTGGTAGAATCGAAAAAAATGTGGTAGATTTGAATAAGATGTGGTAGATTTTCCAATTCATATTTTATTGGGTATACATATCGCACACCGTCGTCAAAAGAAGCACAACTCAAAAATTAAATCGGGAAATATAATTGCTAGTGGATCGTACAGATTCCACGCAATTGGTGCAAAAATAAGTATAACATTAGTTTTCTAGTTAGAGAATATAATCATGAAGAAAATAATATTTTATTTGTATGCAAAAAAATCGACCAAATTATTTTCCCATTGCATAATACTTTAGCAAATATAAATAGGCGTATTTTTGAAATATTAGAAAGTTAAGGCACAGATATATTTAAAGCAAAATTTATGATGTACCTTTTTAAAAATCTATTGATTAATTTTTATATTTCAAATTACAATTGAGTTGAAATTCTAGAGTTATGTGAAAATTGTAAACAAATGTTCTGTCTAAAAATGTGGTAGATTTTAAGCCTTGTGTGGTAGATGTGGTAGACACCCAAATTTAAAAAAAAATACGTGGTTGATCTACCACACATGTGGTAGAAGCTTGCACACTGTTCTAAACGTATGTTTTGAGCAAATTGATGTTTAAAGCTAGCAATATATCCCATGTCCATTTTCCAAAACTATAATAATAAACATGGCAGTTTTTAAGCAATTTGGTTCCTGTAATTAAGGAAATATTGTAGTTTTGGCATTTTTCGAAATTACCATTTTATGAGAGGGACCAGGTTATTGTTCGACTTTTGTATTTTCAATACCCTGCTGCCCTAGATAAAAAAAAACCCTCGTACAGAATTTCGTTGAGATATCTCAACTTTTGCTAGAGTTTTCGTGTACGCAAATAAACGGACATGGACTAATCATCTTCTCTTTTTATTTTGAGCATTTTTATGTATATATACATACATAAGTAGTACATACGAACATAAATGTATGTATCCATATCGATTAATTTTGGTTGTTCCAAATATACGTTATTTGAAAAAAAGTTATGGTACCCTCTTGCAGAACTGCGTTGTAAATATGTTTAGGAAACATTTAAATTAATAGTTTATTAAAAAAGTTGCTCAAAGTAATGGAACTCCTCAACCCCTTAAAAAAAAACAGGAACCCTTCTGAAATTTTGTTTTGAAAGTTTTCATATTTGAAAACTGAAAACAATCACAGTATACAGCAAACCAGCCATTGACAATATGCTTATTTGAAAACTAATACATGAAATGTTGTGAATATATAGGATTTTTTTGTCATTAACCCATAGGCAACAACTGGTGCAAAAGTACCTACAAATGTTTGTTGATATATTTGAAATGTAAATTTGAACAGCAAAATTCATAAAACAAATTATAATAAAACAAAAATATTGTTAATTACTACGTGGGAGGTGGGCGTGGTTATTGGCAGATTTCGACAAAATTTAACACTAACCTAAATTATACCAAAGGCAACTTCGACACCGACTTTCGTTAAAATAACTAAATTATGTTCGAGTTAGCGTGCTTACAAACAGAGAGGGCTGAACTAGTTCATCTCGTCATTCTGAATATATGTGTATATACATACATACATTTTATACGGTTAACAAACGCGCTCGCTTATTTGCATAAACCGTCTTTACTTGCATTAATTCATGCATTATCCTCCTTCAAATGTGAATAATCGGCTGAACAAATACACACAAATTACGTGCATTTGAAAATTGGAGAGCTGTACCATAAGCTAAGTAATACTTCTTTTACCGCCTAATCGATGGGACCATTTTACAAAGTCAGCCCACCATTATTCACTCAAAGTTGTGTTCAGAACACGGTTTGACTTATGTAGGAACTGCATCCGGTCATAATTGCTAACGCTTCACGCTTCATTTGCTTGGAATTTCGTGTTTCTCGTTATTTTATTTTATGTGACTTGAAAATATTTTTCACTATAAGAAAATATTTAAATTGGATTTCATTTGGGTTAACGAAAACGACAACTGTGAAAAAATATCAACCAATACATTCAAACAAAATGCCAAATAAGCATGTTTACATTTTTTGTTTTGGCTACCTGGATCACTGTATACTGTGAAAAAAATATTTAGTACAAAAATAATTGTGATAAATCAATTTTGTATATTCTTCTGCGAAAAAATGTCTACAATCGATGATGTATATGTATACATATCAAGATGTGTCTGTTTTGCTCTACGGTTGCGATAAGTTGCTTTGGAATAAATAATATTGCACGAGTCATTGGCTTTGGGTTAGTGGCAGAAAACTTCAATACATAAGTACATATACTTTGAAATAAAATATTTGTTTTTGTTTCAATTCCAGATATGTTCAAACTTTAAAGTATAAAATATATCAACCCTGGGAACAAATTATTGGTACTGAATGGTAAAAAAAAAGTGTGCATTCATTCTAAATATACAATCATGTGTGAGTGCGAATGCTGCTGAACATTCACATACTATACTGAATGGCAATCTAGCATTCAATAACAAAACACAGTTTGTTTGTTTTCAAATATTTTAAGCCACTCAGGAATGAAGTTTTTATTTATACAAACCAACAATCAACATTTTGAAAGGAATGCCGAGTGAATGCAGACTATGTTGATTCAATCATTTTACAGCTCTGATAGGTAGGCAGATACACCCTTATCATGTTTTTTTTTGTGAATTATTAAAATCTTAAGCGGGGTTTTGGATTATTGAAAATATTGAGTTAGTGTAAATGGGGACGTAGGCAATAAGCGCAGATAAGCGTACATATATACATATATGTGATTACGTAGGTTTTGCTATTAACGAAGTAATTGAAAAGCATTAGAAGTGAAGTGAACTAAAATTAAAAATATGTGATACTATTAATATTTATGTATTAGTTAGCCCCGTAGGAATTAGTTGGCATTAGGATATACTTTTAAAGATATATACAAAAATAGAGTAAGGAAATAATAAATTTGCGAATTGTAGAACCATTATAGAAAAGATAAAATATGGTGTGAAATTCTTGTTTGTTTTGGGTAGGAATTCAGCTGTATTATGGAGTGCTAAGCACTAGTATTCGGTGTGGGAGTTGCACCTGTTCAACAGAGGGGAAGAGAGAGTGTAGCGACGCAACGACAACTGACGGAGATGACTAACTGATTGATAGACGGACTAATGCCAGGCTTAGGGGGCGTTGTAAAAAGGTGAGGAGTCACGACAACGGCCAAGGCTTCGCGTGGGGTTCACGTAGAAGAAAAGTCATCCCATTCCACCTGACCGGACTGGACTGGACCATTTCTCTGTAGTGCTTTCTCTTTCTCATCTTTTTCTCTTTATTCTCAATGGTGATCAGCACTAGTAGTTCTCCATACCACCAGACACGATTAATCTTTTTGTTTGTGTAGCGATTGCCATGACAGGCGGAAATGACGAACATACATACATACATACATACATTGCAGTTGACTACGAATATGCGTGTCCAACAACAGAGCGATTAATCAGCCTAGGTATTCTCGCGACAATTACTGAAAATAGATAACGGAAAGCTGCCAGTCAATGAGAGATTAGGACGAATTTTATTGCCTGATAATTTTTGTAACATTTGAAGTGATGAAATGTACGCCGTTGTGGAAACAAATGACGCAGTTAATTATCTAACGGACTTTTTGAACTCATTGATCTTCCAGGGATTACCCAACTTACTGAAATTGAAAATAGGTGTGGCAATTATCATGTTTCGGAATATTAATCAGCCAAAACTTTGCAACGACCCGCGACTCGCAGAAAAGAAATTGATGAAGAACGTAGTGAACGCAAAGATTTTAGCGTGGCCTTTCAAAGGTGAAGAATTGTCATTATTCCGATCGATACACCATTTCAATTCAAAAGATGGCAAATACCAATTCGATTGGCATTCGGAATTAAAATCAGTAATGACCAAGGTCAACCTTTGAAAAAGTATGGTTTAGATTTAGATGCCGATTGCTTCTCACATGGAAAAATCTATGTTGCGTGTCGCCAAACCAGATTGCCGTGATATCTACGAAGAATGGAAAACCGAAAAATATTGTGTATCTACACACAAGTATTGCAAAATGAAACTTATCTGAAACGTATGCTTTATTTCGTTAACCATTTATCATCCATATAACAGGAATATGCCACAGCAAAGCGTGGCAGGCTACAGCTAGGAATTATATACGTAAGCACCAATCTATCAACATCGTTGAATTATTTTAATATCTATTGCAAAATTTTATACAGACAAGACTAAAAAGTAGAAAACAAATAAAATAAAAATCTTTTTTAATATACCACACTTTTATAAATGGACTAAATGTAGAAAATAATATTTCTCAGTCCCAAAGAATTTGGTTTGATAACTTTTCATTTTGAAATGTTAGCAAAAGTCATTATAACAATTTATGAGATTGAAAATTAAACGCGTTCGGCGCATGTAATAGAGTTGAATTGATATGAAAAGTAATGGCTGGTTTTCATTAGGTCAAAATCACTGACATCGAAAACTGCCTTCATCTGACAGCTATTCATTTGGTGTCAAACGCGTTTTCATTACTTCATAAAAACTGACCAAATGTCGATATAGCAGTGAATGTCAAAGACTGTCGTCAAATTTTGATGTCAAACGTGAAGTGAAATTGTTTGACAGACGGTCAGCTGATAAAAGAAAAATTAAAAAAATAAAGTACGAAAATAATTTATACGAGAAGTAATGCGCAAAAATAAACAAATTGCTATAGCTGCTGCAGCGCTATGTGTAATAAAAACACTAAGGATGTGGAAAAAGAAGAGAAACCAACAGAGGAAGCAAAAGCAATGTTGGATTCGGCCTGTGGATTTTATGCCACACTGCGCTCTAAGCTTTTTTAGGATGAGTATGGAGGATTTTGATTTTCTTGTGGAGCGCCTTACCCCATATATATTCAAACATACCACAAGGTTCCGAGAAGCGATTTCGGTGAGCGAAAGATTGGCCGTAACTTTACACGTTACTTGGCAACAGGCGATAGCTTCTCTAGCCTTATGACTGTTTTTCTAATCGGGAAAACCACCATCTGTCATGTAATACATGAGACATGTGGGCCTCTTTTCGAAGATTTAAAATATGATTTTTCAAAGGTGAGTATTCATGTAATTTTATTTAATCAGTGACAAAGTGCAAAGTCTATTACTCATCAAGGTTCCTATCACTCATGAAGAATGGTCAAAGGTTGCCGACCGTTTTGACCAGCGATGGCATTTCCCTAATTGCTGTGGGGCATTGGATGGAAAACATATAGCGATTCAGGCACCTGCAAACTGCGGTTCAGAGTATTTTAATTACAAAAAATACAATGGTATTGTCCTGATGGCTCTGGTGGACGCCGACTACAATTTTTTGTTTGTAGAAGTTGGAGCATATGGTCGTGAATCCGATGGTGGTGTTTTCGCAAGGTAAAACTGATACAAAACACTGTACTTCAATCTTAACAAGAATACCTTATTTTAAAATATACAGATGCCCTCTTTCAAATGCTTTTGCCGATAATACAATTAATTTTCCGCCCCCAAGGCCACTTACACATGAAAGTGATGAAATGCCATTTGTCATCGTAGCTGACGACGCGTTCCTTTAAAAACATACTTGCTGAAACCATTCAGTTATCGCGAGCAAGTTATGTCGTATAAAATTTTCAATTACAGACTATCCCGAGCAAGAAATGTAGTAGAAAATGTGTTCGGCATATGTGCATCGCGTTTCTGAATTCTCAGAAGGCCAATGGACGTAAAACCGGAATATGCAAAAGCTATTGTCCTCGCGATTTGTGTCATACATAATTATCTTTTAACACGCAAATCAGTATACAGTAAAACCGGCTTAAGTACCTCACGAAAAATGTCAGCTTTTTGAGGTACTTAGGCGTGTTGGGTACTTAAAAGAACCCGCTTAAGTACCTCAATGCGGGTACTAAAGCGAACATGATTACTGATGTAGTTACATCTTCTTGCTAACTTACATAAATACTTGAATAACAACATTTAATGAAGAATACATAGTTTAAAACCAAAATCGTAGCATTATTTAAACACATAAACAAGTAAAGAAAAAGTTTATTAAAAAATATTTAGTGCATTGGTATGTCATTTTTACAAGAATTAAATTGTTTAAAAAGTCAAAGTTGGACATATCATTTTGTGCCAAATTCAAAATGATATTGTTTGCCACTTATGTTTATTTATTAATTTTACAGGTTTTTCAATCAATTAAAATCCAGTTCATTCCCTATATATAAACATAAGCTTAAGATTTTGTAGAATACTTAAAAAAATTCATCATAATTTCAAACTTTTTTCTCAGAAGTGTTTTTTGAGTATACGGTTTTTAGCCCATTAAATTTTAGTGTAATAATGTACAAGTTTCAAGTGGCTAAAGGTTACCGTTGATTTTTTAGACTTTTTTTACCGAAGGTGTGTAGCGGTGCTACTGAATTTGAAAATACGTAAATATTTTAAAGAATTTTAAAAGAGCACTTAAAAGGGGAAAATCACAAGTAAAATTGTAAATGGGGCATGAAAAATTTAGGTACTTAGGCGGGTTGGGTAAATAAGCGGGGAGGTACTTAAGAGAGGGATTTTCTTCTGATTATATTAAAAAATTCACGGTATCCAAAAATATTGGTTACTTAAGCGGGTTAGGTACTTAAGCGGGGAGGTACTTAAGCGGGTTTCACTGTATATGCGAAGATCTGTAGTGCGATTCGGTAACTCTTAACGATGCATTTGTTGAGTTGTTAATTAAAGATTTTTATCGTTGTCAATAACGATTATGCGATTCACTAACTCATTCCTAACGACAGTGAACAGCTGACTTTTTCCATTAATTCAAATTGATAAAAAGTGGCATCTCCGCTGTTCGAAATGTCAAATTTGCGAAAAGCACAAAGCGGAACAGAAAAAAAACAAAGCCATTTCTTCGCGCCGCTAATTTTCGTCCACATATTGCAGAAAAGGGGAGTACATTTTGCTATTTATTTAATTAATATGTATAAGAATTTACTTTGTTCTTACTTATAATTTCAGAATGGCGTCTACCAGTGGAGCAGGAGCTAAAAGGAGTCGGGCATCAGCGGAGCAGCTCAACGTGATGATCGACCTTCTCACGGAGAACGAAGGGCTTGCGTCCGGAAAGTTCCAGCGTCTCCAAGGAAAGCTGGAGTATAGTTATCTGTACAATGATTTTGTGGTGCGGAGCGGAGGGGGAGAGGGTGTGACACCTAAAACCATACCCGTTAGAAAGAGCAGTCAAAACTCCCCTCTCTGACCCCTCTACAGACTACAGGG